TTCGAGCAAACTGGTTTGCAAGTATTACCAGAATCCGTTTCGAATCCTTCGTTGCACGTGCACGTATTGAAACCTGTACATCTCCCATTTTCACAAGGCGTTTTACATGTTGGAACACATTCAAACTTGTTCTTAGGATTCTTCTTATAACCCAGTTTACAGACGCAAGTATCTGGCGATCCGCAGAATCCTTCAACGCACGGCTTCTTGCAAACTGGTACACAACTCTTCGAATCCTCCTGCTTGGAATAACCTGAGCTACAGCCGCACCATCTAATTTGTCCTCGAATCGGCCGATTCGTGCATTGCCTGTAGCAGATGTTAGGATTCTTCGCGTCCGCATAAAATCCCATCGTGCACATGCATTTCCCTGGAGACATGCATCTTCCGTTCACGCAAGTTTCGGTGCACACGGGAAGACAAGATCTTCCATCCTGGCTGCTCTCGTAACCATCGTTGCATTCGCACAAATCCGGCGCTACGCAAATCCCGAATTTGCACGGTTTCTTGCAGATCGGCGTGCAAGTTCCGTTTTGGTTTGCGTATCCCTCGCAACACTCACTTTCAATTAAACACAATTACAATTATATCGATGCAAAACCTTTCGGAAATACTCACCCATCGCCGCACAAAGCTTGGACGCAACACATGGAGTGCACTAAAAGCACAGCTGCAACTATCGGGAGGATGGACATTTTCGGACTGAAGAAGATTCGTTGATTCTGCCNNNATATGAAGAAGTCCGTCCCACTTCTCTGTCGCTGTTAATAATTAATCGAAGACGACCAATTATCTTGGAAATATCAATTGATTTTAAATTATTCACAAGCGATCAATTGATCCCGATCACTCATAAATTACACTGTTTCCCGGCAAAACTCCTTCCAAGGAAATCCATACTAATTCTTAATTAGAAAAAGAATTATAAAGAAGCAATTCTTAATTATAATGAAATCAATAATTATTTGTAATTTACAAGCAAATAATCTATGCTGCTACATCATAATTATACACATATTATCCAACAAATTATTCATTGCTATAAACACTAATGGAAAAGTACAAAAACCAATCAGTTTTTTTTTTTTAATAAATATGTAAGAAATCATTGATTTTTCTGAAAACTTGGATGTTTGAAGACTGCAGATTCGTAGATTGCTGTGATTGTTTCATTGGCTGTAATTTGCGTTCAAATTAGAAAAAAAAATGAACAGATGAAAAAAATGAAATGTGAAAACACTGCTTTTTCGAGCGTTTTTTCAACTTTGAATGCGAATTACAGCCATAATGATAAACCCACAGTAATATATCAATACTTGCTAGATTCCCCAAACATTCAGCTTTCATATGCATTTTTTGGATTCATTCTATCTATTACAGTTTTCGTGTAAATCAATGAAATGTGAAAACACTGCTTATTCGAGCGTGTATTCAACTTTGAATGCGAATTACAGCCATAAGGATAAACCCACAGTAATATATCGATACTTGCTGGATTCCCCAAACATTCAGCTCTCATATGCATCTTTTGGATTCATTCTATCTGTTATAGTT